TGCTGCAAGTGGTTGTCCTTTCCAAATGTCCAAACCTAATAAACAGTATTAAAGTTATTAAACACAGAATTTGGATTGGTTGGTGGGTTCGGGACCAACCTGAACCATCTCTGAGACATATATGCCGGAATTAATTTGGGGATAAACAAGGGGTGATAGCAGACACCCCTCAATCTCCAGATACAAAACGCTCTTCTAGGCCACACACCCTATCTTGGCATATCCTCTCCTCTCCACCTTGCATACCATCATCATCATCATCATAATAATCAAGAACAACAACAAGAACAAGCAGAAGAGCAGAAGCGGCAGGGGCTTGAAGCACAATCACCTCCCACTATCACGTCCCACCACCATCATCAACACATTGGCATCATCATCATTGTCATCATCATCATAATGGTCGTAATCATAATCATCGTCATCATCATCAAAACAACAAGAGAGGGGGGGGGGGGGGGGGGGGGGGGGAAGGAGGGGGAGGAAAAAAAAAAAAGAAAAAAAAAAAAAAAAAAAAAAAAAAAAACCCCACGACTCCCTTGTTCCTAGGAGAGAGCATATTACCAACCCCCCCCAACCGCCGATCGCGCTCATCCCCCCTCCCCCTCCCCACGAATTAGACGAATAGGGTCCAGTTCCCCCCTACCACTGCTGCTACTAGTAGTCTAGAAGTACTTTGTTAAGTCCCATTGGTCGCCTTGCCAGGTTGCGTTCGCCATCAGTGTTACTTTGTGTTAGCTTCAGTTAGCAACCGTTAGGTTCCGTCAGCAAAAAAAAAAAAAAATAGCACCTTCGTTCGTTTCCTCAACGAGCACCACTCCAAAAGCCTGATTGCTTCTCAGTGCGACCCCTTTCTCAGTCGAGAGCACCTGCGCTATTTCCACCAGTAGTCCTCATCGGCTCCCCTACAGTTTATTTTGTTATAGCTTCTGTTAGCAACCATTAGGTTCCGTTAGCAAAATTTAGCACCTCCGTTTTCTCAACAACCACTACAACTCCCAAAGCCTCATGCTTTTCAGCACCTTTCCCAGTCGATTGGAGAAAACGGGGGGTCGCCACCGGCGCCTGCTGACTGGGAAAAAGGCGCCTGCTGCTGCACCACGTTCGTCACGAGTTTCCAGCACAGTGCACTCTGTGAAAAATTGAAAATTCAGTTAGCAACTGTTAGGTTCCGTTAGCAACACCACCCACCCATTCCGTTAGCACCCCCTGCCCAATCGGTTTCCGACTTTCCGTTAGCAACATAACAACCCCCTGCTCAACAGGTTTTCTGTTAGCAACATAGCAAACCCCCCGCTAGCGTTAGCGTTAGCGCCCCCTGCCCAATAGGTTTTTTCCGTAAGCAACGACATAGCAACAACCCCATTTTCTCGAGCCACTAGATGCTCCAAAAGCCTCATGCGTCTCCGAGTTCTCTCGAGTATCGACACCATTCGCCGCTGACTCGCTGAGAGTGCCTTGCCTCTAAACCAGTTTTCGTCGTTCTCGATTCCCACGCAAGGCCCACACTTTACTACTCCATGAGGATCAGTTAATAACGGTGTAGCACTCACTCGCTAGGTCCCATTCTGTTTCCGTTATAAATATACTCCCATCATTTAGCACCCTGGTCTCCCCTCATGCTTCTAAGCACCTTTCAGCAGTCGAGCGTCTAGCAGACCTCTGCACCCGTTGTTCCCTGTTCCCTCGCACTTCACTCTGTTCGGTTCAGTTAGTAACCCCACATGTTAGGTCGCGTTAGCAACGTAACACCCTCCCTGCTTGCTTTAACGCCCAACCTTTCGGTTCTGTTCCGTTCCCTTACATTCCGTTAGCACCCATGCTTCTCGCCGTTACATTCCGTTAGCACCCATGCTTCTCGCCGTTACATTCCGTTAGCACCCATGCTTCTCGCCTTTACATTCCGTTAGCACCCGTTAAGTTTCTTCTTCAACCGTTAGAAGAACTCTAAGATCCTCCTGTGTCTCAGCGCCTTTCCAGATCCAGTGCCTACCTCTGCACACTCGCTAGTTTCCGTTCCCCACAGGTTTGGTCTTTTAATTGTTACGTTCGTCGGGGTAGCCCATGCCGCGTTCAGTTTCGAACCCTGCGGTTTCCCCCTCAACCACTGGAACTCCTGAAGCCCTGTGCTCCACAGTGCCTTCCTCCGTCAAATGCTTGCACTGCCATACAGTACTTCTCGAATCCCCTTCGTTGGCATCTTATACATCCCTCACGACACGACACCTTATCCTCCTGACGTCAGATATTATGCCTCTGGAGTCTGGTCACACTGCTTCTGCCCCAGTCACCTAGTATGGACGACAGTACTCGGAGGGATACTCTCAATCCGTCAGTTAGACTCACAGTCACAGTGTTGTAGACACACTGTCACACTGGGTGTCACTGACACAGTCTGCATGTCAGAGGGACCGTCACTGTCACGATGATGCAGACAATGTCACCCTGGCTCTCAACGACACTGGCTGTCAGGAACGCTGTGAGTGACAGTGTTATTTTTCAGCTTGCCATCAGTTTGTTGCGGACAGTCGCACTGTGACTCGTTCTGCACCTGACCATGCCAGTCTGTCAATCAGTGAGACTGACAGTCTCAGTGTGACACTGTCACAGTCAGTATTGCAGACGCTGTAAAACTGTAGGTGTCAGTGTGACTCACACTGTCACAATGTTGCAGACACACTAACTGTCACAGTGTTGCAGACAATGTCACAATGTAACTGTCACAGTCTTACAGACAATGTCACAACTGTCACAATCTTGCAGACACTGTCACACTGACTGTCACAGTCTTGCAGACACTGTCACACTCACTGTCACAGTGTTGCAGAGACTGTCACACTGATTGTCACAGTTGCAGATGCTGTCACACTAACTGTCACAGTGTTGCAGATGCTGCTGCACTCTGTGACAATGCAGGTGACAGTGTGACTTACACTGTCACACTGTCTGTCACTGGCAGATATTTCTGGATACAGGGCCTCCGCCTCCAGTCGCATCCATTCATGGAAATCAAGCGTTTTCGACCGCTTCTTCGTGTCCTTCGTATTCTGCTTTGAATCCGACGACAAGGCCGACGCGCCACCGGTCACTTTGTCAGACACTCACATAAAGTGCATCCAAGGCCACGAGGTGGCCGATGTGAATGCGTCGAGTATACCCTGCACTTATCAGACACTTAACTGTGGGTGAGAGTGCGACACTGATAGCATCAGAGAATTGCTAGCATGGTCAGTTTCTATGACAATTATCCCAGTGTCTCTTATCCAGATGGCATCTGCAGACGTTGTCACGCTGTCAGTGAGACTGCAGGTGACAGTGTGACTTACAACACTGTCACACTGTCTGTCAGTGACACTGTGGGATGCAACAGTGCAACTCGATAGTGTCACAGAGTTGCTAGCACCGTCAGACAGTCTCTGTGACACAGTCCCAGTGTCGGTCATCCAGATGGCACCGTCATGGCGGCGTCGCCTCCTCCAGCTATAAGTTGTGACAGTCTCCTCTCTCAGAGCAGAAGAGGTTTCAACTACGAAGCCCAACAACTGAACGCCGCGTTCAGTTGTTGGGCTTCGTGTTTGATACCGCGATTCCCGATGTTCGGTCGCTCAGCAGTTGGAGACGCTCTTTGCCTTGCCTTGCCTTGCCTTGTTGAAGTCCCTGGTTGATTTCGGCTTTCGGCTTTCGGGTACCCTCATTGCTGATAAGGCGCGGGGTCGGAAACCGCGCTGATAAGGGTTCCCAAAGGTTGCACCAAGGTACGAGTATGAACTTCGACGACGTTTGGACCAAGGTACGAGTATGAACTTCGACATTTGGACCAAGATACGAGTTTGAAACTGCGGCGTTTGGACCAAGGTACCAGTTTCAATTTCGACTTTTGGACCAAGGTACCAGTTTCAATTTCGACGTTTGGACCAAGGTATGAGTATGAACTTCGACGTTTGGACCAAGGTACAAGGGAGGTGGCAGTAAGCTATGTCAGGCTTTCCGAGCTTGGTCGCTGCTCCATACCCTTTGCCGATGGCGTTTGAGCCGTCGTAACCCTCTTGCTACGCCAATACAATAACTGCTACGGTAGCAGTTAAGAAAGCTGTTTGCTCCGAAAATGACTCGGGTCTTTCGGAACAGCCACCCCGTCCATTACAGCGAAGGACTGAAAAGTCAAAATTCCATTTTCGCAAACCCTTTTGCGCGAACGTTTTGAAATTTGAATCCACTTTTTGAGTTTTAACTAGCCCACGGAAAAGTGACAGGGGCGCAACATGTGGTTATGTGTTATGGCCACCAGATGATCAATGGATGGGTGGATGGATGGATCATGGATGGATAAAGCTCGTTTCATCCGAGCCTTCGTGTTCGACAAACAGCGGGACTGGCCCCTCCTTGCACCTCTTGCCACCCGGTAGTCGCAGCCACGAATAGCAGACATGCTATGCCTGCTTCTTTTCCCCTCTCAGTCCTACCCATCGGCTTGTTGCGCAATCAGCAAAAACAAAAACAGCAGAGCAGACACCCCTAAATCGCTTCACCGTTGTTGGCAACAACAAGACCTGATGCAGTGCACCTGCAACTTTACGTCAGCGTGACGTCAGCTTGTGCAGAAAGCACTCTGCCATCAGAGCTAGGTTCTCCCTGTGCAAAACGATTCCGTCGTCGTTCGTCTTGTCTTGCCGGCCGTGATCGACGATTGCTCGTTTGCTAGCAATGCAGGAAGCTGACCACATACTGGGGCAATATAAATGTGTTCATATTCATAGGCCAGATTACGTACCGTGTTGGGTCCTGCTTGTTGTCGACCCCGGTGTCAAAATCCGGTAAGCTCGGCTGAAACTGAGCTGACTCGAAGGGGATAACCTCCATGGAACCTATGATGACCTTTGCGAATAGCAAGTGCTTCTCACCGGCCTCGTCGGGCTCGGCAAACTCCGCGCTACTGAATGCATGATTCTCCGGCGCGAGGTAGATGCCGTGACCGTAGAGCTTTCCATTCCGTTCTTTCGCACGAAGGGAGAACCCATTCAAAATGATATTCAACAGGCTTTCCAGAGGCGCACCATGCCAGCCCCACCGCACATTCGCGTTCCCGCCCCTTGCTTTCGCTCTATCTGCTCTGTACATTTCAAACGCATTCTGCCTCGCCTCCGGCAAATGCACCCTGTGAACGGCAGTCACAACAGCGTGCTTCTTCGGCGGCGGCCTCATCACCGCTGGCTCCTGCAACCCACTCATCGACATGCCTCGCCTCGACTTTGCCTTCGCTGACCGATACCTTGAACTGACTTCTCGCGGCAAGCTCCCGATCGACATCCCTCGTTCGTGGAAGCCTCCCCGTGTCATCGTCACCGGGCTGCTGGAGGACGACGACCGCTTCGCCGCTTCTTTGTCCATTCCGCGGAGAAACCGAAGGACGATATCAAAGTATTCCTCCCCACGCTGAAGCAGTTCAAACTTTGCCGGGTACTCGGCGAACCGCACAATGACTGGCGAACAACACTCAGGATCTGGCGGGCGCGTTGCGGGGATGTCTTGCAGTTCCCTCCAATCGAGAGGTCTGTCCATAGAACTGGCACATGACCCTAGGCCAGCGACGCATTCCATTCGCACTGGCGTAGCCATATCTGTCTCATTCGGGACCACCCTTCTCTCCGAGCTCCTGCGACTTGAGCGCAAGTGTCTGACCTGCGCATCGTCGATCGTCAGTCCGTACTGAGCAATGTACCTTGGATCCTCTGCCCCCAAGTGTACGCCCTCGAACGGTCGTGAGGGGTAGTGCCATTCTCCATTCAATCCCGCCTTCCAAGCGATGGACTGAGAGTAAAGCGTCGCGATGTTGATTCGCAGTTGCTGTACAAAATCAATGATGAATGTCGGACCGTTTTCCACGACGAGCGTTGTGAAGTTGACCCCTTCGCCAAGCTCGAATGCAAGCACCTTGGACACTCGCGCGTCAAAGTCGTACCAACAACTCTGGTCGTAGTATCGAAACTCAACCGGGTTTTCCAGTGCATGGCTGCACAGCAGCTCGCGCACTTTTTCGTGCCGGTTTGCGATTGCCACATGAATGGGCATACACCCCTCCTGCAAAACATCCCGCCCCCCCACGCCCCCCCCCCCCAACCCTCTCTCCCTCTTCCCCTTTCCCCCTTCCCCCCAGCCCTCCACCCCACCCCACCCCACCCCACGCACCCCATCGAGAAGAGCATGCAGAAAGATGGATGAACAAACACGTCTCTGAAAAAATTCTCTGATGGAGAGAGCATTCCGAACAACCAGCAAGATTTGCTGCAAGTGGTTGTCCTTTCCAAATGTCCAAACCTA